CGCGCCATCGATGACGTAGCATACAAGCTCGACGGGAAGAGCAATTAGTCAATTTGACAAAAAAATCTTTTTTGAAATAGCATATGTAAGTAGATAGCTATGCTTTCTATCGCAAATGATATAAAGGTCACATTAATTCGTGACGTTTACAGCTCTATCAAATCAGCACGTGATTCTTACTAAAATTCTTTATTGATTTTAACTCACACATTTATTATTGGTGACAACTGTGTTTATCAGTTGATTCGGCGATGCCTTATGATTTGTATGACACTTGGATGACAGTACACTTCTTTTCTGTTGATGCGGGTATTGTATACGACATCTCAATCTCATGTTCACACCACGAACAGATCTGAGCAAATGATTTTTGTCACTGCCAGTAATTTGCGATTCTGTCCCACCTGGCTGTCGATCAGCCTTAGTGGTTGGGTAGCGCTCAATTTTGATCATTTCTGACCTATCACAACCAAAAGTCCGCTTACACTGTTTTCACCTGCATCAGAAAAGACTCAACAGGTTGCAAATATTGCATATTTTGCGCAAATGGACGAAAAGCTTTTTCAAAGTTCATATCCGATTGTTGCATTGCTGAAACCGCACGATGTCACAACTTTTTTTGCATTTTTACTGCAACATCGTCTTGTATATTACTGTATTGACTATCTCACTCCGAGTGTGTCTACCGCGCTTTGTATCACTCTCCAGTCTTTATAAAACATTACCCTATTTTTGAGCATATTTTCAGAGTCCGTGTGGACCCGGTTTTATTATCCGATCATTAGAGCTTGAGATTAGAGATGTCTGTACATCGTATTGTTCTTGAAGACTAAAGCTTCAGTCAATTTGTTGTCTCCGAACAGCCATCAATCAACGCCAGTGATGACTACACGATCAGCCTTCTGCGGTGTAGAGAATTGCCAAACGAGATATTCCATGCTATGGACATGATTATAGGAGGGGTGAACCCGACGAGAGAAACCGAAGCGCGTCGACGTCGGCCAATCATGGCTCGACGAGGGGGAAATCGACGAGAGAAGTTTCGACGAGGAAATACTTGACGAGTAAAGATTCGACGAGTGAAGTCTCGACGAGTGAAGACTCGACGCAAGAAGATTAGCGAATGAGATAAGGAATGATCCAAAACACTAGGCATTAGTATAAGTTGATGAGGGGGACGAATGGGAGCCACTCAAGAGTCCCTCCGCGGTCAGGAAGAGGAAAAGATATAATCAAAACATGCAGATTTTAATTAAGTCCAAGACACGCGAACACTTTAGGTAAGTCCCTGCGTGGGCTAGATTATGCCTCCCGTCGAAACTAGAGAGGTATAGCTTGTAGCGGTATCGACTGGTAGCACCAAGAGTTTAGAAAGTACCGGGTCGGGCAGCGCTCGCTAATAGCGAAAGGAGAAGTCTCGTCGTCGATGAGCCCGTAAAGCTAGTGAAGGGACCGTTGTTAGACTTGTCAAGTGACAAACCGGTGACCCAATAGACGGCACCGTTGAAAGTATTGTCGAACGACAAGCCGGTGGGCCTCAGCCGAGGTTACCGAAAATCTTCTTGTCAGGCATACAATGCGCCCGGTGGCCTCTTAAAAAGCGTAAGCATCGGCTTCCATCCTTTGGTGTGAAGTCACCGGAAGAGAGAGGTTTAGAGGCTGCTGAGCTCAGGCAGTCCTCTGGAGGAATTGGTTGTAAGGAATCGGTTAGGCGAGAGCCACAACTGGACCCCGAAGGGGCGAACCACGTAGGGATTGACCCAAACGTACCAACCTATGTCGCCGACTTAACTCGGAGATTGATGTGTTTGTACGTTGAGACTCCTGTATTACAAAATTAGATATATACTATACCACACTTCCTCATTAAGTTTTGTACAGAGCTTGCATATCTGTTGCTTACAAAAAATGTGATATGCCTCCACTTTCTCGCTCAGTATAACTCAGATTGTCGATTTTTATATAATTGCCTTTGCGCATGCTAATTAATTTGACTTTCATCTATTAAGCATATCAATTCATCGAATGGGGCACTTTATAATACTCCAACCATCGAATCTGCACGCTCTCTCAGCCAAGTAAAAAAAGCAGCAGCTGACCCCATAGCTTAATTTTAGCTCCCAATTTTTTGTATACATACTTCAGATCCGTCAAAAGGCTAGATGCTTATCGTTTCTTTACTATAATTACAGACCTTGCCATATAATGAGTCCATATCGTCCACCTCACGAATCTGATAAGGCTTTGCTCCGCACACTTAAGCAGCTGACCTCGCTAGCGGATAGTCAGCTACTTTAGGAGTCGAATCTCCTCTCGATTCTCCTCTTTCCTTTAATCGGACTCAGCCAACCCGTAGAGAAGACTTTAGCCAACACTGATTCTACATGCGCTTACGTTCGTATCCAAGATGCTGCTGGTATCTCGCTTGAAAATGCCCCTTCCACGCGTGGGCCCCCGGACCATGTATTCCGCCACGCCAGGCAAAGAAGCCTGAGTTTTCCACTATTTCCAAATCTCTTTCTCATCAGCCGTGGGGTCTGCCCAACGACCCAAATACACCTTCGAATTACGGGATAACTCCCATCATACTTCAGCATAATGCTGACCAATCCTCTGACATGTTTACGAGTCCAGAAAATAGTAATTTTTGCCAGCCATGCCATAGTGTCACTTGTCTTATCAGGAATTCACACTTTGTCCACGTCTTTTGCAATCTGCAAAGTACTCCTCGGTGATATTTTTCGCGAGCAGACGCCAGCGATTCCTTTATGTAGCCTTTCCTGCGCAGTCCGGCATGGAATACCTTCAACTTTTTCACCCCTCGTAGGAATTTCAACCTTAGTGGTCCGAGACTCGAAAAATCTCCCTCCACACAAGTGTTCTCGCAAGAGCGAGCGTTAATTACCACCGTTGTATGTTTCTACCTACTGATTATATGTTGATTGCAGCCGCTCTTTGCTCTTGCACGATGCTGGTACGAGATTCGCTCACCTTCTGCCATTATTCTTGCCTGCAAAAATTTACTAGCGCAAGAGTACCAACGAAACCGCGGTGTCTTGATGGCTTATGACCTGGCAGTTATTTAGCCGGTAAACTAACGTACCCAACAAACGGTATGTTGACACGCTTTCGGCGGGTAGCTATCGACGGGGTGTCCCGACGTTGATTATACATAGACCGTGGCACACAAGGCTTTCAACGCTATGTAATTTTTCTTGTGCCACACATAGATGTTTGACGGAAAAAACATATTGGTTATCATTTGATTGGGTCACCGTAGCGATTTTAAAAACCTCCACCGCCTATAAATAATAGGCAGCTCACGTACGGCTACAACCCCAATGAGACGATCTACGCGCCGTAGTAGATGACCTATATCCGAATTGTGTTGTAAGTAGCCATGTGACACTGCAATGTAAACTTGTATAGCTCTGACTTAGCAGCGGATGGTAGATTGCTTGTTGCTAATGGGTGTGAGAGCTGCCCTTTTGTGCACCACAAGGATTAATCACAGAAAACGCGTTGGCGTATGATCAAAACGGAATAGCAACTTCTCGTGATACTCAGTCTGACCTAAGGCTGATCACGTTACAAAAATCATTGCACAAACGTTTCCATTGAAAGATAAAGAGGTGTAACGGTGTGAGGTCCGTTGCGTTGGCATTTATTTTGGCCGTGATGCGAATATTATCTCAGTGAATTATCTACTTCACAGTATCACCGACTGAGGAAGTATTTGATAGCAGTAGCTGACACCCTACTCAGTAGAATATACAAGTTGTTGGTTGGCCAATACGACTACCTGTAGAGAAGCGATGTGCGCAACGAATCGTAGGACCTTAATGAGCAGGCATATTAATTTACGATGAGACTTGTGGGCGCTCTTAAAACAATATCGGTGTAGTGTAAAATGCGATTCGTTCCACATCTGTAAATGCGTGTCGTAATCGATGGATATCTGGTAATCGACGAACGACGTCAGTTCTACGACCAAAACATTGGGTGCATCGTACAATCGGTAAGGCTGTCTATATCCTATGCTTACAAGTTTATACTGTTCGGCGCGATTGTTACCGGTTGAACACACGTTATCCAACGTGAGTTAGCGTCCGGTCTGCTTCGAAACGGTATCTACAACCGAAACGACACTTCTGTATGATTAAGGTGCCTTCCACCGGCATACGGCTATTCCTATAACATATATTGTAATTATATAGTCTTGGGTGTAAACGCCATCAAGGATGTTTGCGTGTAGAAAGTAGATGATCAGGACTGACATCGAGCTCATGCGTGTATCGAGAAAAACGGATCTGTCAAATGGGTTCAAATAATGAGAAATGCAGGAAGGGTATGCAATCACAATACAATATAGTACGAATTTCCACAAAAGTTGTGCGTGTCGTCTATCACGAAAGTTTGCTGGCATTCCATCAATCATACAAAAAAGGAGCAAGCGAGTTCATTGCAAACTTGTCAAAGCTCACACGTTCTTGAATGAAGTGCATCACAAAGGTCGCTAGATGAAAGGGAGGCGATACATTGTATCGCGAGTTGAAAGAGTGAGCACAACTTGGCTGTAGACAGTATGTCCAAAAGTACTGCTTATCATACAATCTACAAGGATACAACATGCGATTGAGACATGTGGTTATTCTTGGCATCCAGCATGATGTACTTTTGGAAATTATTGCTGGTTGATGACCTGCAGATAGAACGACAGAAACGACGTGACAACCATATTATATCATCGTGAACAAAGAACAACGCAAGGCTCGAACGGCGGAAAAAAGCTCAACTAATCGCATTGCAGGTGAACAGCTACCGAAGATGCATAAGCGCAGCCAATCACTCGCTCCTAGTCATCAACTTGCCGCAGGCGATACGCGCAAAATGAAAAATATGCAAACTTAGATATGAATCGTCATGTAGGTGATTGAACCGGTCGACAGCGCCGATGAACCACCTAGTCGCCCACGATCATCACCTTCGGCCGTTCCTCTTCACTTGTTGTTCATGCGCGACTTCTGCTTGCCTTCGGTCTCCTTACGCGCCGTGCCAGCTGAAGTCTGTGCAGCCTCCGACTTCTTGGCACGCGTTTGCTTGGCAGCTTCAAGCGTCTTCTCCGTGTTGGTCTCCTTTTGCGTCGTTGTTGGCTCCTTCGGTTTCGTCGCCATCGCCTCTGCTCTGGTTCCCATTCCTTTGACAGTATCAACTGCCGCTCCGACTTGCTCTTTAACCTTTTCGGTCATATTCTTAGCCATGTCTGCGGTTTTAGCAGCAATGCCCTCCGATTGCTCCTTCGCCTCACCGCTCTTCTCCTCGGTCTTGTCCTTCGCCTCGACAACCTTGTCCTTCGTCGACTCTTTCGCCTGACCAGCCTTGTCCTTTGCCTGGCCGGCCTTTTCCTGGGCCACGTCCTTGGCTTGACTAGCCTTGTCCTTTGCCGTGTCCTCCATCTCGCCAGCTTTGTCCTTTGCCTGGCCGGCCTTTTCCTGGGCCACGTCCTTGGCTTGGCTAGCCTTGTCCTGTGCCGTCTCCTTCATCTCACCGGCTTTGTCCATTGCCTGGCCGGCCTTTTCCTGGGCCACGTCCTTGGCTTGGCTAGCCTTGTCCTGTGCCGTCTCCTTCATCTCACCGGCTTTGTCCTTTGCCTGGCCGGCCTTTTCCTGGGCCACGTCCTTGGCTTGGCTAGCCTTGTCCTTTGCCTGGCCGGCTTTGTCCTGGGCCATGTCTTTGGCCTGACCTGCCTTCTCTTTTGCCGTCTCCTTCATCTCACCGGCTTTTTCTTTTACCTGGTCGGCTTTCTCCTGAGCCATCTCCTTTGCCTGGCCAGCCTTCTCTTCCGCTTTGGATGTGGCCATGCCCACCTTCTCCTTGCCGTACTCGACAGACTCGTTGAAAGTGGCCTTCAAGTCGTCCTTCTTCTTTGCAGCGGCATCGGTGACCTCGGTCCCCTTCGCTTCAATACTTTGGGCCGTGTCCGATTCCTGAGCCGCGAGTTTGGCATTGTGCAAAGTCTCGGTAATGTAGTTCACGCTTTCCGACACAATCCCCGCGGTCGTCGACGCCACTTTGCTGCCAAGTCCACCAGTCACCGTGTTGTCCACCTTGGCTGCCGTCGCCGACACACCCAGGCGAGCATCCAAGTCGCGCACCTTTTGCACAACACCACTGCCGATACTGCTCACACCCAACTTCTCGTCCCCAAACTCGGCAGCTCGCACTGTCTCCCCCACTGCAACTTGGGCGCCGTGCGTCGCCTGTCCAGCCATGTTGCTAATGGCGTCGCGCAGCTTCGTCAACTGGTCCGAGGTCGTTTCCAGCGCTTCTGTCGCCAGCTGGCGACCAGAATTCACATAGTGGTGCAACGTGTCGACAGCCTCCTGTCCCTTCGACCCCGTATACTTGTCGTCATAGGCCATCGCTTGTTTCTGCAACTCGTCCAGCGAGTCGCGCACGCCCTGCATGCCTTCAAGCGCCACGGGCACTGTCCGCTCCGACAAGTCCTGGCCCTGCGTCTTGAGCTTCTGCGTCGCCGAACGCGACGCGTCCAACGCCGCCTTGAGGTACTTGGTCGCCGGCTCGACATTCTCGTGGTTGTTCTGGTACTCATCCACGCGCTTCGTCAACTACACACACACCAGCCCCATCATAAAGACAAACCGTCAGCTTCCACCTATCCATGCAAACGTCAAGTCAAACTCCACCAGGTACGCACCTCGGTCAGATACGAGTCGGCCTTCTGCGTCGTCTCATGGATCTGCTCCCTCGCGCGGTCAATGTCGGGGCGGTGCGCGTCCATTTTGCTCTGTAGATCAGTCATTCAAAGGGGTCAAGAGCCGTTGCAGTTGGTCGTGAACTTGTTGCTCGAGTAGTAAATCGCTCAATGGCCAACGACAACGTACCTGGAGGCGCGAGCTGAGGGACCCGTTGGACTCGTGCAGAGACTTCGACGGCGTGGAGGACCACCTCGTCCCAAGTCGTAGTAGTGGGTGCGACGGCGTGCGGGGGGTGCCCCCACGCGCGATGGCCCTGGACAACGGTCGCCAAATTCCTTTCATTATTCCAATGGCTTCGCTGGACGAAAAACCGAAAGTGCGAAGGGGTTTCGACGACTGTTTCTCAACTGGAAGAACCTGCGCGTCCAAAGGATCGAGCAACGCGTCCTCTCGAACACGTCGGCCCGAGCGCGCGCGATGCCATTGGCTCGCGACGGTTCGCGGACGGCCAATCGATCTCGAGCGATCCCGTCAGCTTCAACATCCACGAGGGGTCAGCGTGCACCAGCGATGAGGAGGCGGATGTCTCAGGGGTACGAACGAAATCGATCGGAAACGACCGAATCGGATTGGCCGAAAGGTCTCTGCGGCCATTGAGAACTTGTGCGACGGATGTGTACAGACCGCGAGCGAAACGATCGATCGATTGATCGATCGATCAGTCGCACAGGATCTGGTCACGAAGTCTCAGCGTCTGAAGTGTGTCTGCGTAGTCAAAGGACCGCAGTTGGTAGTGAAAGTTTATGCATATGCTCCTCATACACACGACGGGCAGAGACATTTCGAGTATATTGAGTGCTACGAAACTTACACAACTGCTGCAGTTGTCTCTGAGGCCGCGACACGCACGTCGTCTATGAGGTCTTTTTGGTACCCAATGTGCTGGCCACATACTCGAGCGACGACGACACTGCACCAGTGGCGCGTTCCATCAGCGACGGGTCGGCGGCTTTCGGATCGTCTGGTTTGATCTTCTCGGCAGCGTCCGAAGCCATTGTAGAAACACCGTCGGCAGCGTCCAAGGCCATGTTCGAAACACCTTCGGCAGCGGCGGACGCGTGGTCGGCCATCGACTTTTGCGTTGCGGCAAATTGGTTCTGCAGCGCCTCAAAGCCGTGGAAAGTCGACTCGCGCGTCGAGTTCATGAGCCACGAGACAGTGTCCTGGACCGACTCCATTGCACTGGATCCGCTGTCCTTGGCGCGGTCGGCTTTGTCGTTGATCGAGTCGCGCACGCGCTCGTCGTACGACTTGGCCGACTTGCCGAGATCCTCCAGCGCCGAGTGCGCGTGGTCCATCGTGCGCTTGGCCGACTCGACGGCCGAGTCCGACGCGTTGTTGCCGCTCGCGCGCAGGTCTTCGCCCGCTTTCTTGAGCTTGGCGACCGAGTCGTGGGCCCGGTCCATTGCGGTCTGGAAGAAGGACGTGGCCGAGTCCTTTGACGACTTGTGCGAGTTGTCGTAGTCGCTGAACTTGCTCTTGAGCGAGTCCAAGTAGCTCGAGGCTTCGGTCGCGCCGCTGTGCATGAGGTCCTGCAGCTTGGCGAACTCCTTTTCAGTGGCGCTGCTGGAGCTGGTCGAGGTGTTGTCAGTGATACCCATACTGGAAGGGCGAAAGTCGCGTGAAGGGACTGTGTGTGTGCTCGAGGGCGAATGGAAAAGTGATGTGGACGTGCTGACCGTTTCGGGCACTGAGCGGTCGATCTGAATTTTGAAGCCGCCGGTAGCAGCCGACATCTTCACGGTCGATGGGCACCTAAATCTTTTTTGGATCGTCGGATGGATCTGGTAGAGATGAGTTGGGATAGTCTGCGAAATCTCTCTCGCCTCTGCTAGAGTGGTGGTGGTGTCAAGTACGTCCATTATTATGATAACTAACGACTGATAAGTGTGACAAGAAGTACGGCCCGGGTGTCGGGTCGACAACTAAAGGGCTCCGTAGAGCCAGGGGCGACGGCAACGAGGTCAGAGACCCTCCTACCGAAGCCAACTCCGAGTCAATCAGCCGCTGGCGCGACCAAGTAGACTGGGGACATGCGTACCGCCGGAGGGCAGCACGTACAACGCGGGTATGCTGCCATATAAGGCAACAAACCCCTTTAGGAACGCTTGCGCGGCCCCCGACGTGGAGCGCGATCACCGAAGTGACGCGTGGCGTGGAGAACGCCAACCCGCCATGTATCTATCTCTCCGAGGAGCTCAACCATCTGCGATGGTGGCCCCCTTCAGCCGCTGGCGCGGCCCCGACGTGGAGCGCGATCACCGAAGTGACTGCGTGGCGTGGAGAACGCCAACCCGCCGTATATCTCTCCGAGGAGCTCAACCATCTGCGATGGTGGCCCCTTCAGCCGCTTGCGCGGCCCCCGACGTGGAGCGCGATCACCGAAGTGACTGCGTGGCGTGGAGAACGCCAACCCGCCATGTATCTATCTCTCCGAGGAGCTCAACCATCTGCGATGGTGGCCCCCTTCAGCCGCTTGCGCGGCCCCCGACGTGGAGCGCGATCACCGAAGTGACTGCGTGGCGTGGAGAAGCCAACCCGCCATGTATCTATCTCTCCGAGGAGCTCAACCATCTGCGATGGTGGCCCCCTTCAGCCGCTTGCGCGGCTCCCGACGTGGAGCGCGATCACCGAAGTGACTGCGTGGCGTGGAGAAGCCAACCCGCCGTATATCTCTCCGAGGAGCTCAACCATCTGCGATGGTGCCCCTTCAGCCGCTGGCGCGGCCCCGACGTGGAGCGGATCACCAAGTGACTGCGTGGCTGGAGAAGCCAACCCGCCGTATATCTCTCCGAGGAGCTCAACCATCGGATGGTGGCTCCCTCAGCGCTTGCGCGGCCCCTTGACGTGGAGTGTGCGCTCGCCGCACGGCCACGTGGCGGGGGTACGCCTCCAGTCCGTAAACACCCCTGCTAGGGCCGCTTGCGCGACCCGTCGGTCTCCTACGCCACACCCGCGACTGCGAGTGCAGCGTGCCCGCGTCAGATCTTCGACCACGTCGGCTCCCCAAGGGAGGATCCTCCGACGTGACTGCCCCGAAGGGAAAAAGACTGGCTTGAGCTGAACCGTGAAAATTTGGGAATCCTCAGCTGAAGGGGCTGCTGCTCCAGTAGAGTGGACTCGGTGGTAGATACAACCGCAGCTGGACGGACAAACGGTCGTTGCCCACACTAAGCCATGTACGTGCGGTTCTTGGCTAGCCCATAGCTCGTAAGCGTGAGGATGTGACTAAAGCGCTTGGCGTGTGGCAACTAAGGTGTCGTTGTGACGCAACGATGCGGCACACCATCGCCGTTGCCAACGCCAGTGAATTGCAACGACACTCTTCGTAGGACGCGCATTGACAGGAAAAAAAGAGTTTGGCAGCTGCGCCTATTGTCGTCTCGAGCCCGTCGTGCCGATGGTCGTCCATTTTATCCTGCGATGTCGTTCATCACACACGACTGAAGAGTTCTGATATTGCATCGGTCTGAGGTGCACGTCATGTGTGCGACTCAAGCTGCAGGCTGATCGTCACTAGGTTTTGTTCGCATCGACGGTCAGCAGTGAGTATCAGTGCATCACTGAGCTTGTGGCTTTCGAATAGGTGGCTTTCCTTCTTGTACAAATTTAGTTGAAGCCATTCGCGTGGCCTCAGCTTTGCAATCATAGCAGGGCACGACATGTCCGAAGTTATGTCGACATGTGCCATTGGCTTTCGAGGAGCCCCGATTCGAGCGAGGGATGGACAGAGTGTCAGCGGCCTCACCGCGACATGCACCGCACATGTATACAATCACAAGTCATTGTGTTTGTCTATCTTAACGACACTGTGTAGCTGCAGTTGTCACGGTCGACTTGCTCACTATGACCGTCGACCTCCTTACCGTGACTTTCGACTTCATCAGCGGTCTCCGCCAGCAACTTGAAACATTTCTAGCCGCGTCATTACCTCGAACATCGACCTGCGCATGCTGCCAAGGGCTTGCTGCCTGCATCAAGCAGCCGATGTTTGAATCTGAAATGCCAGTACCCAGCTTTGTGGTGCTTCTCGTTCAGCTGCACCTCATGCAGCCTGGACCTACGATTCACGTCCCCTATCAATTCCACTTTCGGGCCTCGAATGTGTCGATACTGACCAACGCAATTTTATAAGGACAAGTTACTATCTTCTACTCTACACAAAGGTACTCGCACATGCTCGTGCATACCTGTCATTACGTCGAGCTCCTCATCCACTGCCTTTGCACCACCTGGTGAAGTATCCTTTGTGCGCGGATATGTGTACACATCGTACCCAGTACTCTCCGCGACTGCGTCCCTGCCACGCATCTGACGTCCGAGTCGAGAGCACGCTTTACTACCCACAGCGGAGATGGCCAGCACTCAAGTCCACCTTCTTCTTGGCTACCGTCGCATCGGTTTCGATGCTCCATCAGCGTTCTCTTCCTCGGTCTCGCTTCCACTATCATCGCGACCGTCACCTTCCGTTCCATCTGGAAACAGAATCGCGCACACGCGCTCGTCGATAAGCCACTCGTCCTCATACACCGGCAGCGCCAAGAAAAACCCGACCACGTCGACGGGATCCAGCTCGTCGTCCTCGCCCGACGGTCGCATCCACTCGGCCATGTCAGCCAGCACGCCGTTGTCGAAGCGAAAGTCGCGCTGTTCCTCCCCAAACGTCTCGTCGTCGTCTCTCTTTGCCTCGTCCACTGCCTTCACGTTGATCTTCTGTACCACCTGCTCGTCGTCCTCCTTCCCCTCCGCCTTCTTCTCCTTCTTCTTGCACGCTTCGTCACCATCCAGTCGCTCATCCACTCGCTCGTCTTCCCCTTCGCCTTCCACTTCTTCTTCTTCTTCGCCTTCCCTCGACAGCAGCACCGATCCGTGTTGATCCTCGTAGTGACTCTTGGGATACGAATGTTCACACGCCAGTTCAAAGTACAGCAGCTCTCGGGGCGACGGATCGTCGTCGCCAAACGCCACCACGAGCGAGAACTTGACGAGCGACCACTCGGCCCCATCGACTCCATCTCTCTCCTCCTCCGCCTCGCGCCTCCTCGTCCTCTCGAACCTGTAGTTGGTGTACATCTTCTTCGTGCCGTCCGTCGCACACGTACCTGCCGTCTGTTTGCGCTTCTTAACGCTCGCTCTCGAGCGCCTCAACGGCCAACACACGCTCGTGGTCATGACCACGTCCCGCCGGCCGTCGTAGACGCAGCCGCAGCTTTCCACCGTCAGCGTCTCGGCCAGCGTCTTGTACACCGGCGACGGACTCGTGACGCCCGTGATCAGATCCATCGCCACGGGGTGTTGTCCGAGCCGTTCGCGCGCTCGCGCCGTCTCGAACGCGAGTCGCGCGTGGGCGCTCAGAGCCCGCAGAGCGTCCAGCCGCAGCGCCACGTCGCGGCCCTCCAAGTCGCGGACCACGCGCTCAATGGCCGCGTCCACGTCGGCGGCGAAGCTGCACCCGCGACGGTCGAACGCGCCTTCCGACATGGCGCGCGCCGTCCTCTCGTCCGCAGTCACTCGATCGGTCCACTCCCGGCTCGATCTCGTCAGCCGGTGCGGGTCACGTCCTGCCACGTGCGACATGTGCGACACCAAATCGATTGGACAGCAGACGCCGACGAGATCGGACGTGGGACTGGCGATCTATGCGACACGTGAGTCACTGCTGACTCGATCGGCCGACTCGCAGCGACTGTCGGACCGACCGACAGACGCGCCGACAGCCAGTGACCGGTCGGTCTCCAGGGGTTTTTCAACGCGCTGCAGAGCTGTTCCGGTCGGTCGTCTGGTGGCGCACTCGAACAACGTCACGTCCGGTGCTGTATATCGACCCGCGATGGAGTGTCCCGACGCTTTCATGGCCGACGACGCGTGCGGTGTCCACTTTGCCGAACGCATTCCCGCGACGGAGTTCGAGCGGCAGGCGGTGGAGGTCACGGCGCGAGAGGTCGCGCGTCTGAACGCGGCGGTGCGTGCGCGTCCCGCGATCGGCGCGCGCTCGACGTTCTTCCAGGACGAGCAGAACGTGGCGAGGGGACTGCCGGTGTTCCAGGGCACACACACGCGGTTCGTGTACGACGAAGAGGCGGGGGAGGAGATTGTGGCGGTCGTGGACGTGACGCGGGAGGCGCTGGAGGACGGACCGGTGGTGCGCACGGTCGCGGAGCTGGACGTGGACGTGGGCGCGGAGGACGACGACGAGGACAGGGACGAGGAAGAAGATCGGGGAGGAGGAGGAGGAGGAGGAAGAGAGGACGGGGGAGCTGGATGCCGTCTGTAGTGCTGATGAGGGGTGTGCGATGGTGGTGGGGGACGACGTCCACGTGGACACGCTGATGGAAGACGTGGAGATGGAGATGGCGGCGGTGGCTCTGGACGAGCGGAAGCTGATGGAAGCAGCTGCAAAGAGACTGTGAGGGAGGCGGAGAGCTGGGCCACGTGTCTGGGTGCGATCATGAAGACGGGTCCTGCAACGCTGTGCGCGATGGGATGAGGCTGCAAAACACGCAAAAGAGCTGAGTGAGGCGGCGTGGGGTTGCGCGCGATGATTATCGATGTGGGCGGTGCGCTACCGATGCGTCGAGCGAAGTCGATTGCCGGTGTTGCTGTCACCACTGCCGAGTGTCTTTATCGACGTCGATGTGGAAGGACAGTGCCAGTCATTTTTCGGATTCGTTGCTCTGGATATCGTGAGTCGCTCCGGGTGAAGCGTCGCAAACTGGTGCGGCAGAAAGCGTTGGTGTCTGGCATGGACACGAGCGTCGTGTGGGTGTTGATGGGATGTTGGTGGGCGAAGTCGCAGCTAGAGACGTCGCGAGTGGCGAATTTCGATCGGGAAGTCTGGTACAGCTGAGTCGTACGAGGAGATCAGGTCGAGCGGTAGGGTCGATGCGAACGACGTTGCATGGAGTTTGCAGTTGTAGTGTATCGTCTTTTCGAAGAGCTGAGCGTGTTGCGAACGAGGAAGTGGTTGTCGTTACGCATGTCATGCAACGCGAAGGTACACTGAGCGTTTGCCGTATCGGTAGGTGCCCCCCGCTTTGTAACGTTAAGCAGACGCTGCTGCGACACAGTCCGTCCCTCAGTCGATTGATGGTCTCCTGAGCTACTCGCACTTCAGCTCGACCTCGTCACGTCGCGAGATGGTAAAGTACGTGGCATCATGCGACACAAAGACCGTCAACCAGACACGAGGCGGTCGAGTCGGTCGTCGGGGTCCCCCGTTTGCAGCTCGCGTATCCGCCTTCGTGGGAAGCGACTGGGAGACAGAGGCTGAGTTCAAGACGATGTCGTGCCAGCGACAATGCACGCCACGTCTGTGGGTCTCGACGCTGCGTCCGTCCTTTGCACTCGTCTCCCCTGTCTTTTGACCCTCTTCGTAGCTCGTTCCCATCCGTTGTTTCTTCCCTCGTCGTCCTCGAAGCGATCGTCTGTGAGACGCTGTCGGCACTCTGCGTGACAGTTGGCGACCGTTGACGCTGCAACGACCTAATGACGACGACGGGGACAAGAGCGAGCGGGCACATCTACGCACAAGTGCGGACAGGCACACGAGAGACACGTCTTTGCCAAGTTGGCCTACAAACAAATAGGCGATAGTTAGTCAGTCGTTGCAAGGGCGGACTGCATCGGTGACCGCGTGACAATAGTCAGTCCGTCAGTAAGTCAATCAGTCCGTCCGTCCGTCCGTTTGTCCGTCCGTCCGTCCGTTTGTCCGTCCGTCCGTCCGTTTGTCCGTCCGTCAGTCAATCAGTTTGTCCGTCCATCACTTTTCGCGATCGGTTTGGCAGCTGCAACAGTTCTGCCAGAAGGAGGAACAGCGTCGGAAGGCAAAGCGTAATTTCGTCGGGTTAGACCGCCGTTTAGGTGTGACGTCTACGAGTGAATGTCGCTATCACGCAGCTGATACTACTGCTGCTGCTACTGCTGTTGTTGTCGATGGTTTTGCTGTTATTGTTGCCGTTCTTCTCGCCTCCTTCTCCTCCTCTCCTCCTCTACGAGCTCTTGGTGCTGCTCGAGCCCTGCAGAGTGCTCGCCACGTAGTCCAGCGACGACGACACGGCGTCCGTCGCGCGCTCCATCAGCGACGGGTCGGCGGCTTTCGAGTCCTCCGACTTCATCTTGTCGGACGCCTCGGCCGCTTTCTTCGAGACGCCGTCGGCCGCTTCCGACGCCTTGTCGGACACCTTATCGGCCGCGTCCGACGCGTGGTCGGCCATCGACTTCTTCGTCGCCGTGAACTGGTCGCGCAACGCGTCGAAGCCGTGGAAAGTCGACTCGCGCGTCGAGTGCATCATCGACGAGACAGTGTCCTGGACCGACTCCATTGCACTGGATCCGCTGTCCTTGGCGCGGTCGGCTTTGTCGTTGATCGAGTCGCGCACGCGCTCGTCGTACGACTTGGCCGACTTGCCGAGATCCTCCAGCGCCGAGTGCGCGTGGTCCATCGTGCGCTTGGCCGACTCGACGGCCGAGTCCGACGCGTTGTTGCCGCTCGCGCGCAGGTCTTCGCCCGCTTTCTTGAGCTTGGCGACCGAGTCGTGGGCCCGGTCCATTGCGGTCTGGAAGAAGGACGTGGCCGAGTCCTTTGACGACTTGTGCGAGTTGTCGTAGTCGCTGAACTTGCTCTTGAGCGAGTCCAAGTAGCTCGAGGCTTCGGTCGCGCCGCTGTGCATGAGGTCCTGCAGCTTGGCGAACTCCTTTTCAGTGGCGCTGTTGCTGTTGTGGTTGTTGCGGTTGTTGGCGGTGGAGGAGTTGTTCATCGTGGTGTCAGCAATGGCCATGGTGGACAGGTGCGTGTGGGTGGTGTCGAGTAGGGAGACTGGCGGGTGGGTGCACTAGGAAGCTAATGTTGGAATGACCTTCTGGTGCGGTTGAGTGCTACCGAGTGCTGTCAAGGGCTGTCGAGTGCGGTCGAGTGCGGTCGATGGAAAGGCAAAGACCTGCGAGAAGATGTGAAATGGGTTTCTGCACGTTTCGAGCGTTTCGAGCGTCGAGCGGTGGATCTCAGCTTTGAAGGGCGCGACGATGTCGTCGTGTTCCAGTCGGTTGTTCAACAAGAGGTATCCTTAGGCGTCCAGAGGCATCCGAGGGCATCCAAAGGGATTACAAGACATCAAAAGACATCCGACGGCATCGTCCAAAGGTATTTAGAGATATCCGAAGACCTCCGAAGGCATTTGATGGCGTCCATCAGAACTGGAGAACTGCGATGATGAATCGTATCTGAGAAACATGTAACGTCCGGGTGAGAAAAAGGAGAGAACGCTATATTGAGTTGCTGTCTACCCTTTGCTCGCGCCAGCCTTCGCTTCTTGATTAGCCGATTCGCGCAAGAATATGCCATAGGATGCTGGCAAAGAGGTGAAAGGGATTTGCTGCTCGGTGCTTAGCAGCTGCAATCGGAAGATGATGGCCTGCGCCGCCGACTCATTGTTCATTTTACTGTAGGGCGCGACTCTGGATGGTGGACACTTTTGACGCTCAAGCGTTTGCTGTTGCTATGGAACTTGCGGATCAACTATCTGGCAACGGAGCGTTCGTCGACGACTGCGACGAACACTTGTGCGACGCTGACTGCGACATTGAGGTCTGCGTAAGAAGCGAAGAGCGCGTTCGTCGTGCGTCTCTTCATGTAGTCACTGGAGGAGGCAGTAGAAGTTACACATCATTTCGTGCGGCCGCGAGTCCAGTGCACGCGTGCGCCGAGATCCGTTCGAGTTCGAGTGTGGCGTGGTGGTCGCTGGTCGACCGCGCGGCGGATGTTTCATCGGAGGACTTACTGGCAATGACCTGGTAAATAACCGCTGGAAACCAATGTCGAAACGGATCTTGGCACGCAACCGTCCAGCAGCTTTCTAGTCGTCTCGTACTACAAAAGTGTTGGGGTGCCCGCCCCTTCACTAGAATGAGCATTTCTGCATCGTTTGCTGTGATCATTGAGTGCTGTTTACACAGCCATCGACAATCTTGACGCATTGCATATACAATCGGTACGAATTCTATTACTGTGAATAAGACATTCAGTACGTCTGCCACATTCGATGACATCACTAGTAATGTAGCAAACTCGTAAAGTGACCATATGGGCCCACAACCGCAAACTCACTCGCTCTTCTCAGCCGGACGCCGCGATACTCCAACTTCTCATAGATTCTGGTGAGCTACCGATAGACGAGACATAATCCTCCACTCTCTTCTTTTTCTCGCCCGGACGTTACATGTTTCTCAGATACGATTCATCATCGCAGTTCTCCTGTTCTGATGGACGCCATCAAATGCCTTCGGAGGTCTTCGGATATCTCTAAATACCTTTGGACGATGCCGTCGGATGTCTTTTGATGTCTTGTAATCCCTTTGGATGCCCTCGGATGCCTCTGGACGCCTAAGGATACCTCTTGTTGAACAACCGACTGGAACACGACGACATCGTCGCGCCCTTCAAAGCTGAGATCCACCGCTCGACGCTCGAAACGCTCGAAACGTGCAGAAACCCATTTCGCATCTCCTCGCAGGTCTTTGCCTTTCCATCGACCGCACTCGACCGCACTCGACAGCCCTTGACAGCACTCGGTAGCACTCAACCGCACCAGAAGGTCATTCCAACATTAGCTTCCTAGTGCACCCACCCGCCAGTCTCCCTACTCGACACCACCCACACGCACCTGTCCACCATGGCCATTGCTGACACCACGATGAACAACTCCTCCACCGCCAACAACCGCAACAACCACAACAGCAACAGCGCCACTGAAAAGGAGTTCGCCAAGCTGCAGGACCTCATGCACAGCGGCGCGACCGAAGCCTCGAGCTACTTGGACTCGCTCAAGAGCAAGTTCAGCGACTACGACAACGCGCACAAGTCGTCAAAGGACTCGGCCACGTCCTTCTTCCAGACCGCAATGGACCGGGCCCACGACTCGGTCGCCAAGCTCAAGAAAGCGGGCGAAGACCTGCGCGCGAGCGGCAACAACGCGTCGGACTCGGCCGTCGAGTCGGCCAAGCGCACGATGGACCACGCGCACTCGGCGCTGGAGGATCTCGGCAAGTCGGCCAAGTCGTACGACGAGCGCGTGCGCGACTCGATCAACGACAAAGCCGACCGCGCCAAGGACAGCGGATCCAGTGCAATGGAGTCGGTCCAGGACACTGTCTCGTCGATGATGCACTCGACGCGCGAGTCGACTTTCCACGGCTTCGACGCGTTGCGCGACCAGTTCACAGCGACGAAGAAGTCGATGGCCGACCACGCGTCGGACGCGGCCGATAAGGTGTCCGACAAGGCGTCGGAAGCGGCCGGCGGCGTCTCGAAGAAAGCGGCCGAGGCGTCCGACAAGATGAAGTCGGAGGACTCGAAAGCCGCCGACCCGTCGCTGATGGAGCGCGCGACGGACGCCGTGTCGTCGTCGCTGGACTACGTGGCGAGCACTCTGCAGGGCTCGAGCAGCACCAAGAGCTCGTAGAGGAGGAGAGGAGGAGAAGGAGGCGAGAAGAACGGCAACAATAACAGCAAAACCATCGACAACAACAGCAGTAGCAGCAGCAGTAGTATCAGCTGCGTGATAGCGACATTCACTCGTAGACGTCGCACCTAAACGGCGGTCTAACCCGACGAAATTACGCTTTGCCTTCCGACGCTGTTCCTCCTTCTGGCAGAACTGTTGCAGCTGCCAAACCGATCGCGAAAAGTGATGGACGGACAAACTGATTGACTGACGGACGGACAACGAGACGGACGGACAAACGGACGGACGGACGGACTGATTGACTTACTGACGGACTGACTATTGTCACGCGGTCACCGATGCAGTCCGCCCTTGCAACGACTGACTAACTATCGCCTATTTGTTTGTAGGCCAACTTGGCAAAGACGTGTCTCTCGTGTACCTGTCCGCACTTGTACATTGATGTGCCCGCTCGCTCTTGTCCCCGTCGTCGTCATTAGGTCGTTGCAGCGTCAACGGTCGCCAACTGTCACGCAGAGTGCCGACAGCGTCTCACAGACGATCGCTTCGAGGACGACGAGGGAAGAAACAACGGATGGGAACGAGCTACGAAGAGGGTCAAAAGACAGGGGAGACGAGTGCAAAGGACGGACGCAGCGTCGAGACCCACAGACGTGACGTGCATTGTCGCTGGCACGACATCGTCTTGAACTCAGCCTCTGTCTCCCAGTCGCTTCCCACGAAGGCGGATACGCGAGCTGCAAACGGGGGACCCCGACGACCGACTCGACCGCCTCGTGTCTGGTTGACGGTCTTTGTGTCGCATGATGCCACGTACTTTACCATCTCGCGACGTGACGAGGTCGAGCTGAAGTGCGAGTAGCTCAGGAGACCATCAATCGACTGAGGGACGGACTGTGTCGCAGCAGCGTCTGCTTGACGTTACAAAGCGGGGGGCACCTACTGATACGACAAACGCTCAGTGTACCTGCGCGTTGCATGACATGCGTAACGACAACCACTTCCTCGTTCGCAACACGCTCAGCTCTTCGAAAAGACGATACACTACAACTGCAAACTCCATGCAACGTCGTTCGCATCGACCCTACCGCTCGACCTGATCTCCTCGTACGACTCAGCTGTACCAGACTTCCCGATCGAAATTCGCCACTCGCGACGTCTCTAGCTGCGACTTCGCCCACCAACATCCCATCAACACCCACACGACGCTCGTGTCCATGCCAGACACCAACGCTTTCTGCCGCACCAGTTTGCGACGCTTCACCCGGAGCGACTCACGATATCCAGAGCAACGAATCCGAAAAATGACTGGCACTGTCCTTCCACATCGACGTCGATAAAGACACTCGGCAGTGGTGACAGCAACACCGGCAATCGACTTCGCTCGACGCATCGGTAGCGCACCGCCCACATCGATAATCATCGCGCGCAACCCCACGCCACCTCACTCAGCTCTTTTGCGTGTTTTGCAGCCTCATCCCATCGCGCACAGCGTTGCAGGACCCGTCTTCATGATCGCACCCAGACACGTGGCCCAGCTCTCCGCCTCCCTCACAGTCTCTTTGCAGCTGCTTCCATCAGCTTCCGCTCGTCCAGAGCCACCGCCGCCATCTCCATCTCCACGTCTTCCATCAGCGTGTCCACGTGGACGTCGTCCACCACCACCATCGCACACCCCTCATCAGCACTACAGACGGCATCCAGCTCCCCCGTCCTCTCTTCCTCCTCCTCCTCCTCCTCTCCCCGATCTTCTTCCTCGTCCCTGTCCTCGTCGTCGTCCTCCGCGCCCACGTCCACGTCCAGCTCCGCGACCGTGCGCACCACCGGTCCGTCCTCCAGCGCCTCCCGCGTCACGTCCACGACCGCCACAATCTCCTCCCCCGCCTCTTCGTCGTACACGAACCGCGTGTGTGTGCCCTGGAACACCGGCAGTCCCCTCGCCACGTTCTGCTCGTCCTGGAAGAACGTCGAGCGCGCGCCGATCGCGGGACGCGCACGCACCGCCGCGTTCAGACGCGCGACCTCTCGCGCCGTGACCTCCACCGCCTGCCGCTCGAACTCCGTCGCGGGAATGCGTTCGGCAAAGTGGACACCGCACGCGTCGTCGGCCATGAAAGCGTCGGGACACTCCATCGCGGGTCGATATACAGCACCGGACGTGACGTTGTTCGAGTGCGCCACCAGACGACCGACCGGAACAGCTCTGCAGCGCGTTGAAAAACGCCTGGAGACCGACCGGTCACTGGCTGTCGGCGCGTCTGTCGGTCGGTCCGACAGTCGCTGCGAGTCGGCCGATCGAGTCAGCAGTGACTCACGTGTCGCATAGATCGCCAGTCCCACGTCCGATCTCGTCGGCGTCTGCTGTCCAATCGATTTGGTGTCGCACATGTCGCACGTGGCAGGACGTGACCCGCACCGGCTGACGAGATCGAGCCGGGAGTGGACCGATCGAGTGACTGCGGACGAGAGGACGGCGCGCGCCATGTCGGAAGGCGCGTTCGACCGTCGCGGGTGCAGCTTCGCCGCCGACGTGGACGCGGCCATTGAGCGCGTGGTCCGCGACTTGGAGGGCCGCGACGTGGCGCTGCGGCTGGACGCTCTGCGGGCTCTGAGCGCCCACGCGCGACTCGCGTTCGAGACGGCGCGAGCGCGCGAACGGCTCGGACAACACCCCGTGGCGATGGATCTGATCACGGGCGTCACGAGTCCGTCGCCGGTGTACAAGACGGTGGCCGAGACGCTGACGGTGGAGAGCTGCAGCTGCGTCTACGACGGCCGGCGGGACGTGGTCATGACCACGAGCGTGGGTTGGCCGCCGAGGCGCTCGAGAGCGAGCGTCAAGAAGCGCAAACAGACGGCAGGTACGTGTGCGACGGACGGCACGAAGAAGATGTACACCAACTACAGGTTCGAGAGGACGAGGAGGCGCGAGGCGGAGGAGGAGAGAGATGGAGTCGATGGGGCCGAGTGGTCGCTCGTCAAGTTCTCGCTCGTGGTGGCGTTTGGCGACGACGATCCGTCGCCCCGAGAGCTGCTGTACTTTGAACTGGCGTGTGAACATTCGTATCCCAAGAGTCACTACGAGGATCAACACGGATCGGTGCTGCTGTCGAGGAAAGGCGAAGAAGAAGAAGGCGAAGACGAGCGAGTGGATGGCGACGAAGCGAGCAAGAGGAAGGAGAAGAAGGCGGAGGGGAAGGAGGACGACGAGCAGGTGGTACAGAAGAGCAACGTCAGGGCAGTGGACGAGGCAAAGGGAGACGACGACGAGACGTTCGGGGAGGAACAGCGCGACTTTCGCTTCGACAACGGCGTGCTGGCTGACATGGCCGAGTGGATGCGACCGTCGGGCGAGGACGACGAGCTGGATCCCGTCGACGTGGTCGGGTTTTTCTTGGCGCTGCCGGTGTATGAAGACGAGTGGCTTATCGACGAGCGCGTGTGCGCGATTCTGTTTTCAGATGGAACGGAAGGTGACGGTCGCGATGATAGTGGAAGCGAGACCGAGGAAGAGATCGCTGATGGAGCATCGAAATCGATGCGACGGTAGCCAAGAAGAAGGTGGACTTGAGTGCTGGCCATCTCCGCTGTGGGTAGTAAAGCGTGCTCTCGACTCGGACGTCAGACGCGTGGCAAGGACGCAGTGACGGAGAAAACTGAGTACGATGTGTACACATATCCGCGCACAAAGGATACTTCACCAGGTGGTGCAAAGGCAGTGGATGAGGAGCTCGACGTAATGACAGGTATGCACGAGCATGCGCCAAATACCATTATGGTGACGAAATACTGTAAGGTATCCTAGAGTTTAACAGAGACACTAAATGTAGAAAGCGACACTATGCTCTTTTGCGAGCGACTTGTACAAGGACGTCCTCGACTCCGAATGTGCAGAATGCAAGTGCGCGATGCAGTGCAGTGAGCTTATCATGCCATTGACGCGAATTTCCGACACGTCCAGAAGACGAGGCGGTACACGCATCAGTGGCCTGAATCGTCGTCGAGCGCGGGCTAGCACACTGATACACTGATACACTGATGGCGGTCACCGTCGACGGGCTACTCGCTCGATGAAGGCCGATAGTTGCAGCTCACGAAACCTTGTCCAGCTTTGACTTCTTGCTCGTGACAATAAAAGACACTGCGACTCGAGCACGTCACTTCATTCATTACCTCATAGTGCAAGTCACAAGCAAAGAGACGAGTTACAGGTTGAGCAGTGCTGTTTACTTGGCAATTTCGATGTCGCGAATGAGCTCGCACAGCTCGTCATCGACGTAACAAGGTGTATTCTGAGCCTTGCCACAACGTCGACCATGGCCGTGCAGCTGCTGCAACAGCGTCTTGGCGTCCGGTCCCTTTGCATCTGTTTTGCGGACGAACACGACACTGTTAACGTCCTGCTCACCCGGTCTCATGGCGAATACCACACGCGAGTCGGTAAACACCCGCTCGAGTCGCGCGATGATTTCCTTGTACAAATTGCTGTCGCGGCAGGAAACGTTGATAAGCAGCACTCCATGAGCACTCAGTAGGCTGTGCACTTGTTGTAGTAGCGCGACTTCAACAAAGCTAACAGGTGGGCAACTCATGCCGACATCGCGCTGCTTCGCATCCACGTCCACGATGATAGAGTCGAAGCTAGGTCTCTGGGCTGCTGCAGATTGCTCCGCAATATACTCGAGCGCATCGGCTACCACCACACGCATCCGTTCATCCTGGTGAAAGCCGAAGTATTGCTCAGCGACCGTTACGATGACGGGATCGATCTCGCACACCGTCACGTCCATGCCAGCAATGTTATCGTGGAGGTACTGTGCCAGACAGCCGCCGCCGAGGCCAAGCACCAATGTGCGGTGCAGCATGTCAGCTTCCGTATTAGCAGATAATGACGCTGCATGAAGCGCCGCAATCATACCCTTGTGATAACCGAAAGCCAAGTAGGCAGTGTCCACGATCGCGTGCTTTGCCGTAGCCTTCTGATCCTTTTTCCGATTCTTCTGCTTCTTGTTTTTCTTCTTCTTTCTCGCATCGGTCGTGGCATCTCCAGATATCGTGTTGGTAGTTCCGACTTGCACGTCGGTTTCAACGGGCACAGAAGCGGGAGGTGTGGAATTGGCAGTGCTGCGGCTCTGCAGCTTAACTTCACTCTGGATGACATTAGTGTTGCTAAGAAACACCAAGCGGCGAAGCAGCTCGCCGTCCTCTTTCACATCCTCCACAAAGAAAGCACCGCTGAGCGACGACGTGCTTCGATGCACAATATTACGCGCACCGAGACCTTCCTCCACCGTCAAATACGGAATCTTCTCACCGGCGCCGAGCGTGTCAGGGGCCAGTTCCATGATCTTCGCGTTTAACTCCTCCTGCACCTTCGCAGTGCTCTCAAAAGCGTGGCCGCCACGACCAAACGCGACGAGGATCAAACGGCTGAATCCAGCCCCCGCTGCGAGTTCACTCGCTCCCTCTTCGGTTGAAAACATCCACTCGTGCTCACGACCTTGGGGAATGAGAAAAACGGCACAACTGCCATTGGGTCCGTGCAGACTCGTGTCCACGAGACGCAAGGTAAACCTAGGGTTCACCTGTCCATCTATGATTCCAGGCTGACTACCGCTCTGGCTCGCCACGGACGTCTCGTCATTTGCAATGAGCTCAATCACTTCCTGTCGGCCGACTTTCAATTGACGCAATGCCGCTTGCGTCATCACAAACCACTGCGTCGCTTCCACTTCGTGCGTCAACCAGCGCAGTCTCGAGTCACCATTACCACTAACAAACTGCTTTGCGTTATACCGGACCTTTGCGTGCGCTTTGTCGTCTGCTTTCCGGCACTTGAGCGCCGCCACAAGAAACGGAACAAAAGGCTTCCGCCTCTCGCGCTGGAGCTCCTGCACGCTCATGCTCCAGAACGATGCCTCCTCTTTCTCTCTACTGACAAAGAATCCGAGCAAGTGCTGCAAAATAAAGTCCTGGGCCATCGTCACGCAGCAGTAGCGTCCACCAGGGGCCAGCACGCGCCGCACTTCACGCAGCATCTTCCAGGCGTCTTCCTTTACAGCTGCAGTGTCTTCGGCCATCAGTGCATCCAGTGCTCCTTTGTCCACAACAAGGTCAAAGCTATTGTCCGCCAGCGTCCGCATGGCCGTCATGTCCATCACTTGCCACTGCAGCGCCGGATGTTTCCGCTTCATCTCGTCAATCACGCGCTCGCTAAAGTCCACGCTCAGCAGAGTCGTAAAGCCATCAGCCGCTAGATCGCCACTCAGCGCCGAATTGCCACAGCCAATGACCAGTACACGAAGTTGGGCTTTCAAGCGGCGCAGCAGTGACGTCGGCGCCTCAGTCGGCAGCCCCAGCAACGCGTGCACAGCAGGACGGAGACACGCGTAGTCTCCGTACCACTCGAACGCCTCTTCGCCTCTCTTCTCGAAGAACGCGTCCCAGTATTTCTGCTTGCGGAAGTCCGCAGCCGTGCGCGGCAGGAGCTCGTGGCCGTCGGCGGAGGAGGTGGCGGTCATGGAGCTGCTGGTGCGTGCGTGCGTCGGTAAGTACGTCGGCGGCGCGTGAGCCAATCAAAAGCGCCTAACAGCGTCCCGTGAGCCCAGTGATCAAGTCTCGCAAGTCAGTCGAATCGAAGGGTGTGAAGTAACACGAAGAAAGTAGTTGGTATGGCAGGCCAGTTGGATAATTCATTACAGCGTCTGCTGGTAGGATGGACGGCAGCGATTCCCGTACGTGACGACTCTTCTGTCTCTACGGCCGACTGCGACCCCCTCCGTGACGACTGACGTTGCCTCTCACGCTTGTGCCACCACTGTATGTATGCTCCCTCGTGTCTTGTCTTGCGCTGTAGCCAAGAAGCTGAACGCAACCGCGAAGGAGTTCTCCTTCAATCCAAGTGCTTCGTCTTGGAAGCCGCCCGTGTCGTTTACACCGCCGCCCCCTGCACCTACCCCCGCACCGGCATTTGATGTCGCAATGCCAGTTCCCAAGAAGGGCAGTGCTACTGTATTGGGCGCCAGTCCTGCAAGTGTAGCCGAGCCTGTAGCTGAAGTGGAAGAAAAGGTGGAGAAACTGGACGTGAACGACAATCAGGAGGCAGGTGTCGAAGAAGCCGATGTTGAAACGGGGGAGAAAGCTGAGGAGGAGAAGAGCCAGGAGCCCGAGAAGACCAAGGTGGAGGAGGTGGAAGACGAGGACACTTTTACGGAAGCAGAGGTGAGCGACGAGGACCCTCGCGAGCATCTGAACGTCGTGCTGATTGGCCATGTTGATGCCGGCAAGTCGACGCTCTCGGGCAACCTGCTGTATCTCATGGATATGGTGGATAAGCGGACCATCGAGCGCTACGAGCGCGAAGCCAAGCAGCGCAACCGTGACAGCTGGTTCCTAGCGTACATTATGGATACGGGTGAGGAAGAGCGGACGAAGGGCATCACCGTCGAGGTCGGGCGCGCCCATTTTGAGACTGAGAGCCGTCGTTTTACGATCTTGGATGCACCGGGACACAAGAATTACGTGCCTAACATGATCCAGGGTGCATCACAGGCCGATGTCGGCCTGCTTGTGATTTCGGCGCGCAAGGGCGAATTTGAGACGGGCTTTGAGCGAGGTGGACAGACGCGTGAGCACGCCATGCTGGCGAAGACGCTGGGGATCAACAAGCTTATCGTCGTTATCAACAAGATGGACGAGGCAAAGTGGGAACAAGAGCGGTTCGACGAGTGCGTCAACAAGCTTCGTCCGTTTTTGCGCACGTGTGGCTTTGCTGTAAAGCGTGATGTGGCATTCATTCCCGTCTCTGGTCTGCATGGCGATAATGTCAAGGTGCCGCTTGACAAGGCTAAAGCCCCGTGGTATGAGGGCGACTCACTCATTGACTACATGGACAAGATGCACATTGTCAACCGCAATCCGGATGGACCTTTGCGTGTGCCGATCTTGGATCGTTACTCTGAGCGTGGCACGATTGCCCTGGGAAAGGTGGAGTCAGGTGTGTTGAAGACAGGCCAGAAGGTGGTGCTGATGCCCACGAACACGCCGGCAGTGGTGAACCAAGTGTTTATCAATGAACTGCCCGTGCGTACGGCCAAGCCTGGTGAGAACGTGACCATCCGCCTGTCCAGCGGTCTTGACGAAGTGCAAAAAGGCTTTGTGCTCAGTGGCGTCAAAGAGGAGAACCCGCCGCGTGCTATTCACGCGTTTGCCGCGCAAATTGCTCTCGTGGATACGTTGGAGCACCGTCCGTTGCTGACGGCTGGTTACAAGTGCATTTTGCACATCCACACCGTTGCCCAGGAGTGTGTTGTTGCGAAGTTGCTCCGTCCAATTGACCCGAAGACAGGTAAGCCGGTGAAAAAGCACGTGGCTTTCATTAAGCAGGGCCAAGCTGTCGTGTGTCGGATCGAGGTGGAGCAGAGCATCACGATTGAAACGTTCGCCACCATGCCTCAGCTCGGCCGTCTAACTCTTCGTGACGAGGGCAAGACAATTGCCATCGGCAAGGTGCTGGCACTGGAGAAGTAAGCGATCGCAGGCTGAGCCGAATCGCGAGGACCCGAATGCTCACCGATAGAACCAGCGCAGCGTTATCGCCCCAGCATACGCTCGTTGCATAAACTACTGCTCAATGCTGTTAGTTTGCATCAGCTGGGGCAGCTTAAGAAAAGAAATGCAGGCAAGCTGGTTTCCTCTTGCTCCTTTGTGCTCTCTGTCTAGGTCTTCTACTGTCACCCGGTCGTGTTGCCCACTACCGTGCTAGGCTCCAGCAACTGCTTTCGACATTTGCTCCCGGACGATTGCAAAGATTGCAACCATCGATGCCAACTGTAGTTCCTCAGTAGTGCCGTTCGACAGCCGGTGTTCAAGCTTGGCCAGCTCGTCGTATAGATACATGCGGCAGCGCGGTGGTAATTCAATGTCCATGGTGTAGCGGTACACGTCCTGGAGGATATCGCTCGTGGCGTAGCCCTTAAGCTTCTGCATCTCGGCGCACTTGTGCACGGCTGTCGCAAACTTTTCGTTAAAGAGCCACTGGACCACCAACTCGATGTCCTTGGGCAGCGGATTGCCCGTGCACGAATAAACATTAGCCTCATCAACGACATCGTATGCCATAGACGTCGCCTGCAGGATGTTGAGGATGCGACGCATGTCTCCCTGGCCTAGACGCAGGATTGCCTTGAAGCCGTCGTCCGTCATGTTCAATCTACCGATGCACAGCAACAGCAAGCGATATACGACACGAGTCAGAAAACCAGGAGCAAGCCATCGATCGACGAGCGCATAGTAGTGGATAGTACTTCTCGAGCTCTGCAATGTGCTTGACCCGGCCGCCCACTTGGCTCTCGTCGAGTGGCGCAAAGCGGAACCGCGTGCACCGCGACTGCAGCGCTGGAATGATCTTGCTCACGTAGTTGCAGATGAGGCAAAAGCGCGCGTTCTTCGTGTACTTCTCAATGACGCGTCGGAGCGAGAACTGAGCGTCGTTGGTCATGGAGTCAGCTTCGTCGAGGATAATGAGCTTGACGCCCTGACTAAAGAGCTTCTTCGTGCCGGCAAACTCCTTGATCTGATTGCGCACCACGTCGATGCCACGATCGTCGGACGCGTTAAGCTCTAGTACCATCGATCCATAGTTCTTCCCATACAGCCTCCGAGCCGCTGCAATCATCATCGACGTCTTGCCCGTGCCAGGAGGTCCATAGAACAGCAGATGCGGCAGCTTCTGCGCATCGATGAGGCGGTTGAGCGTCGAGATGATGTTCTGGTGGGCGATCAGATCCGACAGCGACGACGGGCGGTACTTCTCGACCCACGGCCACGACTCAGTCGACCGATTGCGTGACGAAATGCCTTCGAACGCGGGCTCGTCGTCCTTCATCTCGACGTCCGACATGGTCCAAGTGCGTGCAAATCGATGGCAGCAAATGGCTCGACGCGGCGTTCATTGGCTGAATACATTATTAGCGAATCACAAGCAAGCTTGACTGCACCTGCAAAAAGCGATCGAGTCAACGGTGACTTGATGTTCGGGACCTTGTCACGGCAGCCAAACCTGGCAGACCGCATATGACATTTAACAGGCTCGCGGCTCGACATTAGTGACGTTCGCGTGAGACAGTCTTTATGCCGCTAAAATCCACTGCCGATGGCATTTCTCAATTTGCTCGAAACCCGTTGGATCTCTTTCGCGTTCTCTCTCTTAGCCACTCGCACTTAACCGAAATGGCCGCCGCCGCTGACCCGCAGATTGAGAAGCTCCAGGAGCAGATCCACAAGGGCACAGAAGAGACCAAATCGTATCTCGCCTCGGTACGATCGCAGTCTCAGCGCTACAACTACTGCTCCGTCTCTTTTGTCTATGGTACCACTGATCCTCACGCGCTCTTGTGCCTGCACAGCTCAAGGAACGTCTCGCCGAATACGACGCGCAGTACAGCGTCTCGGAGACCGCGAGCTCGTTCCTGCAGGCGGCTATCGAGCGCACGCACAAGTCGGTGGACGAGCTGAAGGAACTGGGCGAGACGCTCAAGGACAAGTCCAAGAGCTCGTCGGCACCGGTCGTGGACGCGGCCAAAGTATCGTTCAGCAAAGTGCAGGCAGCACTGGACGGGCTAAAGGAACGCGGCCGCAGCTACGACGACCAGTTTCGTGCCAGTGTCACGAGCTCTGTGGACTCGGTCAAAGGCGGTGTGTCGTCGGCCACGAGCTCCGTGTCCACGTCGATTGAGCACATTGTGGTAGCTACGCGCGAGCGCAGCAGCTCGAGCTTTGAGCAGCTCAAGGAGACCCTCTTTAGCGCCGGATATGGTGCCTACGTGGCTGCCGGTGGTGTTGTAGGCAAGGCCGAAGAGCTGGACGGTCGCTACGGTGTCGTGGACACCGTTTCGGGCGTGGTGGGCGCAGTGGCTGGCAAGGTGTCGGATTTGGACCGTGCACTGGGCGTGTCGGCGACGGCCATGAAGGTGGACGACAAGGTAACGGGCGGCATCGGCACGGGTCTTGTGAACAAGGGCATCGACCTTGTCAACAGCTCGGTGGAGTACGTGGCCGGTGCGCTGCAGCAGGCCAAGATGGCAGCTACCGAGGAGTCAAAGGAGAAGGAGTCCAAGACGCTTGAAGACGCTGCGGAAGTAAGTAAGACAAGCCCGAAGGACGTCTAGTAACACCAGTTACCTTTTGTCGCGGCAAGCAAACTGGCCATGCGCTGTGTATGCTTGTCGATAGCTGCTTGACACCAAATATATCAACACATTGGCTCAGACGCTCTTCCCTGTATTTACATGCTCGACAAAGCTGAGACCATCATTTTGCTGGGATATGTGCTTCAATGCCATCAAGACCTTACCAGAGTCCGTACATTGTTGCCAAGTGAGGTTTACGATAGCGTGTGTGCTTACCGGTAGTGTGCAACTCAGCTCTGGCTGAAGATGTCGCGTTTTCTTTTACCATCGTCAGCCAAGAAACCGATGGGTGGTCGAAACCGTTCGGTACGAGCTCTCTTGGAAGAGTCAAGAGCAGCTGATCCGAGACTGGGACCACTGTCGTCTTGGCTTCACTCAAGTCTGTACAAATGCGACCCCGCGTGAGGAACTTTCTTCGATGAATCCGTAATGAACACCAATGTATCAGATACCGAACGACTTCAGACACGCCAATGCACACCTTAACCGCGCAACAGACTAAACATGTCTTCTGTTGGCATGGAGTGCTACTGCCTGGAAACATTGACATGCAATCAGACAGTGAGACGAAGGACGAGCACGCGACCAATAAGACCTAAAAGACGTTGTCTCGTTGCCGGACTACCACTTCCTTTGCGTTGCAGTCACGACACATCTGGGGCAAACCCCGTGCTTCGTTCAACACGCGTCGTATGATCACTTGAGCAGAGACGCCGTGTTCAATGGTTAGCCTGACACGAGCATATTCCCTACGACTGTGGATTACAGCGTCACCAAACAAAACTCCTGGCGATCCACGACAATGAGTGCATCGCCCGACGGTGCCCACTGAAGACCTCGGGCTTGAAACGACTCTACAGGCAGCAGCATTTGAGCAGAGCGATTCATGAGGCACAGACATGCCAAACCAGCGGATGACAGTGAAACGTACTTGTGGGAATATCGACCCAAGACATGCCCTCGGTGGTCCAGAGGTACACGCGGTTCTCTCCCGACGTAATTGCAAGGCGAGTGTGCAGTGGATCCCATCGCAGACTTTTCACGGACTGCAGCAGTGAGACGGTCGCGAAGAGCGTCAAGCTCTCCATGCGCCAGATCCAGACGTTGTACGGCATTTGATCGCTTCTGGTTGCAATGTATGCTGAGTCGGCGCTCCAGACCGCGCGACTGATACCAATCGCCGGACTTGCCACGCTACAGAATGAAGAAGACATTACTTCGTTAGCAATGTCAGAACGCATTGGTCAGGTGGTTGTCGTAAATGGTCTTACAGTGGATCCGAGACGACCGTCCGAACCGAGAAGGGAGGGTAGCGAGGCACGAAGCTGACACCGCGACTCTTTTTCCCACCACCAGCCTCGGCTGCTGCTGAAGCGGCCTGAAGCGAGTTGGAAGGCAGTGACGAGGCAGACTGAAGCACTGCAACGCGTTTGCCTTGTGGTCGGTCCATGACATTGGCGTCCGCAAAGTGCTCTTCGTGTTCCACCTACAAACGGAATTGCCATAAAGAACGGATGTCCGTCAGGTCCCGCGCGGATCAGTAGCAAGCTCATGACGGGACACACGCGTCACTCACCGCTGCTTCATTTGTTCGGGAGCTTGTGACTGCGACGCTTTCGTGGTCAAAGTCCGCGATCGGTTTCCAGTTGACATGACTCAGTACGCGCAGATGCTCATCGTAGCTCCCCAGAGCCAGGAATTGACCAGACGTCGACCACGCCATTGTCCGTAACCCCAGCGCATTCTCGTACGCCTACGCCCGACAGACAGACAACCAAAATGGTTGGTGGCAATCCAACACCTCATGCCTGAACATGCGCCAACTGCGCCACTCCCTCTCTCTGTCCTGTGGTCACGTACCTGATACTTTGCTCGCAGCGTGCCATCGGGCGAATAGAGCAGCACCCGGAACTCGAGATGGGTATCCCGCACCGCAATCGTACTGCAAGCAAACGTCAGAACTGGGACACCCACGCACCCACCCACAGCCGTGCAAACACTCTCGTCAAGTCTCGTCGCTGTGCATGCACGTACGCGTCTTCAGGCGACCACACGATCTCGACGCAATCGTAGCTTTCGAGCGGGAAATGGGCCGTGAGCGTCCAGTTCCCGCAGCTGTAGATGCCAATGAAGTCCTACGCGTGACCACCAGCGCCTCCTTGTCACTTGTCTGTACGTGACCTTGATTCAACTACCTACACACGTGCATCGCACCTTACACTCGTGTCGCTCGACAACTGCCAGGAACTCGCCACTCGCTGCAAAGCTCAGTCCTTCGGCCGCCAACTTGGGGTTGCAAATCGTGTACCGAACTGCAGGTTCGTGCAGGGACCACACGGTCGCGTGCAGCTGAAAGTCCGACACTGTCACAACGTGACGGCCTCCGGGCGTCCATCGCGCATGGACTAACCCGGCAACGCCTTCCGAGAGTTTGCAGCTCCAGGACACGTCGTGGACGGACCAAATCTGCACCACTGCTCGCTTGGGTGCGGCCGTGAGCACAAACTGCGAGTCGCGGGACCACACGAGCGACTGCACGACGGGTAGTGCACTGTACCGCTGCACGATCTGCAACGAGTGCGCGTTGCGGATCACGAGTCGATTGCCGCTGACGACGGCCACGTAGTGCCCGCTCGGGGACCAGCGCACGAGGCCGAGCGTCGCGTCGACAGTAGCCGACACCTGAGGCATTGGCGCGATCTAAGGTGACGAGTGGTCGCAAACGAGAGGGCTGGGAAATGAACTGTCGCTTTATTGGTCACGTCATGGCAAAGGTGTGATGCCTCGGCGTCATCATCGCCCGAGCGCTGTCTCGATGCTGAACGGCGTCGCTCAGCACTCGTGTGTTGCTGCAGCGCTTTTGCTTGTCAGGGCCAGTCGGGTTTGCCGCGGAAGTGCGCTCCTGGCCATGCAACAACGTCCAACACAGGATAGAGCGAGCAGCCGCGTTGATTGTCGCTCCGTTCCTTCCCCAGCAAGTCAGTCGCTACTCCTTGCGCTGCCGCTGCTGCCCTCGCTCGAGCTCGTCCACTTCTTTCTCGAGCAACAGCAGTTTCTTCCGCTTGAGCAGCTTGAAAAACTGCTGCGACTCGTCCGACTCGTGTCCCTCGCCAAACAACTTGAGCGCGAGCTCGTCCTCTTGCAGGTCGTTCTTCCGGCGCATCTCGCTCACCAGCTGCTGCTGCACCGACGTCAAGTCCTCCGTCGTGGCCGCTGCTGTCCGAGCCCTTGCAGCACTCTTTGTCTTGAGCCCTACTGCCGCCTTCGTTGGCCTCGTCGTCGTCTCCTTCTTCGTCGCAACAACAACCACACCCGTCGTCTGTGGCGGTGCCTCGTACTCGATCATCGCTCGACTCGGTGCGGCAAGCGCGACAGCAGGAGCCGCATCAGCACAAGCAGCAGCAGCAGTAGCGCCGACTCCATTGGCTCTCGCTTCCACATAGTCCACGCCACGCGCCTCGTCGATTCCCGCCTCTGCCTTTGCCGCTTCGCCGCCTCTTCCTCCCACCACTCGGCCCTCGCAGCAGCTCCGCACGAGGTCCCAGCAGTTGAGAAACTCAAAGTCTCGGCCCCGCGTCGCCCGGAAGTCGCTCATGGCCCTCTCGAGCGCCACCTCCTCCCGCCCGCCGCCCTCTGCTTCCAGACGGTCGAGACACGCGACGAACGCCTTCACCTCTTGCACCATGAAGACCCATCGATTCCGCAGCGCCCGCACGCTCCGCGCGCTCTGCACCCGACTGCGCACGGCGTCCCAGAAAGACGGACCTTCTTTCACACCGGCGGCCGCGACGGCAGCGTACGCGGCTGCTAAACTCACGTCCTCGTCGCGGCGCCACTTTTTTCCGCGACCCATTTTTGCTTTTTTTATTGTACAGTGCAGCAGCAGCAGAGAAAAAAAACAGGTTTAGGACTGCCGAGTTGCGAGGACCCGATACTCAGAATCTGATACCGCCGGCCAATGCCGAGGCCTCCCAGACCGTGCTTTCGTGGGTGTTTCCATCGAGCGCATCCATATGGACTGCAGCAGGCGCTGTTAACGTGTGCTGCATTCGAGTAGCTACCCACTTTCCTTCCTCGAATTTTCATCCCAGCAAGCAATGTGTCACTTCGTTCGTAATAAGCAAACGTGGTCAGTTTGCTTGACCTACTCCTGACGATGTCGTGGCACGCTCGTCCGCTGTATGGGTGCTGCCTCTCACACGACACCTTTATTCTATCCATTACGCTTGATAAAGCTGGAAACGACGGAAGAGGCTGATTAAGGGTAAGCTTTCTTGTTTGATGGCACGAATGCCGATAGCTGTTAAGAAGCACCCTGAACGTCTTCACACTTGCACACCCTACAACAAAGTTCTACCCGTCATCTTTTCCAACCCAACCAAATTAGTTTCGAGGACGAGCGAGGTGCTTCCCTGACCTTTGTTGCAGACAAATAGGTGAAAGCTGCTGTGCAAAAGGGTATCCTCGATAAGTTCCGTGTATCTGAAGCGAACTCGTCCGATTCGCACGCATCAGTAGGTTTTGCGTGTCGTGAAAAACAAGTGCTCAGCCATGACGCAAAGAACACCTACCTCACCCAACAACTATTTGAAATTCATGCTGCCTTCCATAAAGCGTGAACGGCGATGGTGCTAAGCTGCGCTAATTTTTTGCATGAGTGCGTTGGAGAGTCAGCGACATAATCCGCGGCACCGGTGCGAGCCGAGATAACGACCTCGCCAGTCAGTGCAATATCACAACGGTATATAAATGACGTTGATGTCGTGGCCACCATATACATGCGTTTCCGTTGACCACTAATGGCAACGCAGCCAGTGGCGATCCTAACACCACGTTATACAGTCGAGAAAGACGTTCGTATCATTTTTTCTTTATGCGAATCTTGACCTGTATCATGAGCCAACAAATGTGTTTTAGCTTGACCTGAACCTATCGCCGGTCCGACGTGTGGCATAGTAGTTAGCGAAATTGTAATAATACATTATCAACGCACCAACACGACAACATCGCCGAGGTAAGTCGGCGAGCTGGGCTGTTTCGCTAGAATAACTCCCTACACGGTTCGCCCCTTTGGGTTCAGTTGTGGCTTTCGCCTACTTGATTACTCGCAACCAATCCTCCAGAAGCCTGCCTGAGCTTAGCAGCTTCTAAACCTTTCACCTCCTGTGTAACGGAGTACTACTGGTGACAACGTACTGGTCAACCAGTACGGAGCTCACTTCCACTGACAACAGTGATAGTCAGTGCCCTGCTGAGTGTTGCACCAACACAGAGGAAGGAAAGGAGACTAAGTTCACACTCAAGTCTCTGGTAAAAGTAAAATGCTATTTAATACAATTAAGTCCTATCCATCTTGTGTCTCTCTTTGTCCTGACTTAATTATATTAATTTAACTAAACGTATGATGACGTCTACTAACTACCCATTGCGCGCGTCTAGCAGCGATTTGTGGGTTGATATGTTCACGATATTAACCAATGTGTAGACCCTTCGGTCATCCCAACAATATCATCATGCTCTGTGGTATTGTTGAAAGAATATTCAACGTAATATTCTTTATTGCCATTTTCTTCGTAATGACAATATCATGTAACGGGCTATTCCGTTACATCACCCCTCCCTCAACTGATAGTCACCGTGTGACTATCGAAACTTTTGTGGCCACCCGTTGGATGCCAATGGGACGGGGAGCACTTGCTGATCAGATCCATTCATTCTGACTTTGCCTCGCATAGTTTTCATGTCTATGCGGGGTGATTCAAAGACGACACGGTCTGCTACCGTGCCAGCCTCTACGGCAGACGATTCGTCCTCTGCTGCTCTCTCTCTGCCTGCAGCAAGTGTTGCTGCAGGCGCATTTGGTATCGCACCACATGCACACATCGACCTCGAGCTAGGGGTCAGCTACTCTGGCGAGTCAGATGTGTCTGACTCGGGGAAGCCTTTAAAGGCATCGCGCTCAACTACGGTGCCTCGTTCATCAAGAGACCTGCCGAAATAACGGACTCGCGACATGTGTCACAGTCTGTTTGGCAGCAATAATGAATTTAGTGATGAGTATAGTAACTCATCACAACAGTCAACTTGTGCGCCTTCGCACGAGCGCGTTGACGATGGCGCGAGCCGTAGTCATACTGAAAACCGCAGTACTGGCAAAGGTACCACGTCGAAGCTTGATGAGCCAAAGCCGTGGCGTTTGCCTGAACAGCTCATCAATAGCTTGTCTCACGAGACAGGTCAACACCATCAAATTCCCTTATTCGATACAAGTGAGCTTCATGGTTTGAGTTTCGGCGCGAAGAACTTTCGCGCTGAAGAAAACTTTTATCTCGATGCTTTCTTTAAGCATCAATTGTACAATGGTAACAAAAAGCATGACAAGGACTCGCTTTTGGTGGCTTGGAATGTGTTCGTCCATAATTCTTGACATTTTGCACGAGAAGGATGGCTCCAAAAACTTGAAGCAGTACGCATCAAGTTTGAAAAGCGAACTCCAAGCTGTGCAAGGTTATAGCTGCATCGTTTTTCGAGTGAGGCAAGCATTCCTTGCCTTACTTGAGGTGATCCTTGTGCGAGTTCTGTTGACAGCTCTCAACGTGAACATGGGAACGTGTATTCCCTAAGTTTGCTCCGGGGAAGGGCACACATCTTGGCTGAGATGCGAAACGCAATTGCAAATTTCCAGTCCGTCTACAAGCGCCAGACGCGCGTGTGTACCGATGGGCCATCGGACCTATCGGATGAGTCTCGTCATACTGGTGGACGAGACCCTCAACCACCTGTATCAGCTGGGATCGAGGTTCTTAGCTGTCATACGAATGTGGATACTCCCGCCAGTGGACAAGGTAACTTAACCTCTCCCCGTTCTTCACGCGGTGGTTAAAAAAACTCCACACGTGAAAGCGTCGACCACCGTGAGAATCAACTATTGGCTCCGGTGGTGGTGGAAAGACAAGGTCCGGATCAGCTGCCGGGCCTGCAGGAGACTTTGGGTAATCATGAACGCTACCTGAAAGAGTGAAGAGAGGACGTCGAATACGAGTAAGATCGTCGGCACGACTTTCTGGCGACCGTACGATGTCTCCGTACCGATCGGAAGAAGGACCGATCGGATTTTGCGTTCGTTCAGCTTGAGAACGAACGCGAGAAGAGTCATTTGCGCGACGGGCTAGGGGAGGCTCGTCGCAAGACTGCGTTGCTGAAGGACTAACTTAAGAGTTTAGTCCGCGATCACAAGATTCTTGTGGGGGATTCTTGAGCGTGGTGGCTATCTCCGTTCTCGAAAGAGCCATCGTACTGATAGTACAGGCGGAGACGACCAACATAGAACGTAGGACGCTTGCGCATCCTGCAAGGCAACTTAAGTGTGTACGCATTGCCCTTGCCCTGCAATACACGAAAGGACCAATGTATTTCGGCAGCAGTTTACTACTGCCGACATTAGTGGCTGCGTGTCCAGGTAGTTTGCCGTAGACAGTAGTACTAGGTTGCTAACCATAATAAAAAGAAGATTGGCTCTTCCATTCTTGTCTTCGTTCCGTTTCAGGCGGTCCACCGCATTTGCGATGGAGTCCCGAAAGAAACGGATCACCGCCTCTCGAGTCATCAGGTAGTTCTCTGCTAACTCGTTGTTTTGTCTTTCAGTGCGCTTCGTGAGCACTGCTAAGAGATTGTTCTCGTCTTTAGCGAGGTTGTCCTCTTTCTCGCTGGTATAATCGTTGACGATGCTGAATATTCCAGCATCGTCATCACTGTCTCATGTAGCAGCAGCGCCATTGTTACTGCTAACGCCAATTTCGTCGACGCAGACATTTTTGACATCGTCATCAAATGTATCGGCGGTTGCGATGATAAGTGATGAGCAAGAGCCAAAATGATTTTGCTAGAGCATGTCCCTTCTCCCCTTAGCCCACAGTCTCTATATAGTAGGGCGGGAATACGTGGGTGGCGTAAACCATTCACGTAGAAAGGTGTGTGCGTCGTGGACGCACGCACGGAGTCATTGATGGCGAATTCTACCATCGGCAAGAACTCACCTAACTCGAAAAGGAGTGGGCGTATCCTTGAAGTATTTCTTCGAGGAGACTGTTTGCACTTGCTGTCTGAACATCTATTTCACGATGGTCAGAGGTTGACATCTTCAACCGCGTTTCGAGTAATCCGAACACGGACTGCCACAACTCCGCCTTAAACCAAGGATCACGATCGGATACAAGTTCACGAGGTAACCCTTGGAGTCGAAACACTGTATCTATGAAGACATGCACCTAGCCGTGTGCCGTGATCGACTCAGGGTCCGCAGCAAGATGCACCATCTTGATGGAACGATCGACAAATACAAGAATACCACTATTTTTGTGAGTGTCTTCGGAAAATTCGAGGATAAAGACCATAGAAACAGGCTCTTTACAATATGACGGTAACGGCAGAGGTTAAAACGGTGCGCAAGATGAAGTACCATGCTTCACCCGTTGGCAGACCTCGCAAGAACGAACCTACTTGCTCTCGAAGTGATACTGGCGGGGCCAGTAAGAGTCGCGACTTACCGTAAGGTAAGTCTTTTCCCAACCACGATGCTCGCCTGATGGCGCATCGTGACATTCGAACATGATGCGTAATCGCAATTATCATGATCGGTAACGACGACAGGAGGATTTTCGTCAGCAAATGCTGTGTAGTAGAGCAGACCATTGAGATTTGTACACCAATCTATATAGAAACGGTATAGAGCCGATAAATCCGAAAAGGGTTTCCGTGATGGGTTCACAAGATGACTTATCAAACAATGGAGATTCGTATCTCCTGCATACGCCTTCCGCACGTCGTCTAGTAGTTCGCCGCAATAGTGAGGAA